TTCTTTCTCATTCTTAAACACGAGAAACTTACAACTCCCCCTATTTTTTCCACTTTACTTCCTGAAAAAAATGTTAAATCATACAGAATTAAAGGGTACCCAGCTGGGGCTTAAAATGTATAATCTGCATTGAAAGAACAAACAAGCTAAAAACACTCTTTGTGTCAACGTAACAATCTTAAATTTCTCCAGGAAAAGTATAGAGACCAAAGAAGTGCAGTAATGTAGATAACCACGTGTTTAGTAAGGAGTCTATGAGATTACATCCCTGTACTTCTGAAGGGTTCTTGAGAAATACTGATGTAGAAATGAGGAATGTTCTACTCAAGTTAAATGAGTTGTAAATTTGGGGGAGGGGCCACTAGCAAAATTTTCCATCTCTATAATCATGTTAGGACTCAGTTTCTTCATCTGAAAATTAGATGAGTTAAAAGCTCTTCAGCATCCTTCCCAGCTACTGTATTTTGAAGAGCAGTACTTTTCCAGCAAGACTAATTTTCATATTCTTCCCACACCTACTTTGGGTCTTAACATATCTGCTTTTAGAAGATGCTGAAATTCATGACCAACTGTGTTCCTTCTAGCATTACCTCATACCAAGGACTTTATTTTACAGTAATATCTATTCAACTTAATAAAAAAAATTGAAACTGTCATAGAAAACTACTAGCTCTAGAGGTACCTAGCCTATTTTTCCATAACTAAAAAATAAGTAAGTCATGACATTTCCCAAATGACATATCTATGATACCTTTAATTTTCCTAGGTAATATTCATCAAAGAAGTGAACATAGGTTGTAAACACAGAATCGTCACTGAAATTAGAGTGATCATGTACTTAAGAATTTTCAAAACAGAATGAATTGAATGCTGAATTTTAGAATCAGGTTAGCCAGTGGACTGTAATTAGTGTGGAAACAGGTGATCTGTTGGAGATTAAGACAAAGAAAAGCAAATCCTTAGCCAGAAACCATTAGCAACTGATATAGTGTCAAGTGAGTAGATAGCCCCATGGCAGCATGAAAGATATTTAAGTGCATAAGTGGCAATTTCCTGTTGTTCTCAGCTCAAAAGATTTATTTCAGGAACATTCCTAAGGCCCAGAACCTGATGAGGTAGAGGTATATTATCTCCCCTCATCTAAGGTATTATTTTCTGTGAGGTAAATGATCAATTTTTGTGTCTTTCCATCCCTGAACATTTTTTAAATTATTCTTTTCATCAATAGCCATACATAAAATAAAACACCCTCTCCCCCAGAACACAACATCTAACTTACAGCCTTTCATTTAATGGCATTTCAGTATCTAACACTGACTCAGATGCCTTATAACCTATAATTTAATAGGTATTCTTTTCTGTATAGTTTTAAAGAAAGTAAATTTTAATCCAATGGAGTAAAACAGCTAAGTGGAAATTTGGACAGATAACAGAAAGAGTCTCATTCCAATTACATTTTGGAAATTACAGGAATTATTTTGAGGGTAGATATTTGTTTATATGGAATATTTCAGAAAGAATATCCAAAGTGAGTGAGACAGGCACAATATGAAGGCATATGGAAAATAACTGGTGAGTATAAACAATATGAATAGAATCTGGACTTAAAAACTGGTTTCAAAGAGCCAAGATACTTCAAAATCTGAGAATGGAAAATATTAAACGACTATGTCATTAATGACTAAAAAATAATGGTTTTATTTGTATATTTAAGTATGTATTTCTGGGATCATGCTGAAAATTCCTTAGGTAAGGAATTCTAGAATTAAAAGACTTCTAGAGAAATGTAGTGCTTTTCCTAGTGGCTCTCACCTCAGCATATTAAGCTATTTCTATCTGATAATGTATACATCTCAAGCTTCTTAAAGTTGTTTTTCCTTATTTGAGTGCTAACTAAAACTATTCAGAATTTGCAGATTCCTAGTGACACCTAATAAAAATGACATAAATTTCCTCAAGTAGGTTTAAAGGCATAGTTATCAATTGGTAAAGATTTCTTCAGCTCCTAGCCTGTCTCCTTCCTCCTTTGTTCTTAACTACACACTCTATGACTGTACCTACCTAATGACTTTTCACCTGCTTTAAAACTCTCACACAGTTTTCAATGCTCAATTTTTCTTGTTTCTTGTCAAGATTAAAAATATATATACTCAAAGTGTGTCTTTGAGCCAAGTAGATGATTTCTCTGGGCTTTTATGTCTTCTATGCAAACTGTAGAGTTTTGGAAAATGAATCCCAGAAACCAGCTTTAAACTTTCTCTGCACAGTAGCAACTGTGTATCTCCAGCTCCACCAATCCATCATAGGACTCTCCTTGACAGCAAACTTGTGAACTGTCACAGGCAATCTTTAGGAGCCATAGTTAAGTGGGGAATTGGACAGGGCTGGTCTCCAACTGTCTGCATGTGCCAATAAGAATCCAGATTCCCCACCCTTGGTAAAGCAGCCTTGTAGAGAAAGATTACTGAACTTGTTATCAAAGTCCACCAAGAAGGTGAAAAACAAAATCTGGAAATTAGAGGAAAATAGACAAAAATGATAAGGTTACAGTGATAGGGTAAGCATAAAACCCTGAGCATGGAGAGACCTATGAGGCATTTGTGGGGACAAGAGAGGTAGAAGCCTTCCAGAGAAGCCTGTAGCTGAGTGTCTGTGAGAGAAAGGAGGGAGATTAAGATGCTAAGTCAGTTTGGCCACATTAGTTATTAGTCTGTCCTGGTATCTCACCAGTAAGTCCTTTGAGACCTCAGTGTTTTGAATTTTAGAACATAAAGGTTCTATGGACTTTTCATCCAGCCTTTGGTTCGACATCAAATGAATGTAAGGTCTACAGAACATAAATAGAAATAAGTGACACAGTCCAGGAAAGGCTTAGGTGAGCTGGGCTGTCCACGCCCGCAGGTGGACAGTTGTAGCCTCTTGTTGGAGGTTAAACTGTAGGACCAATGGCTTCCTGTTGCCAAGTCACCCAGGATTTCAAGAAACACTTGAAATACTTATCTGCACATGAAATTTGTTTTTTTTTTAATGTTGGAAGTTAAATCAAGGAAATTGAGTTTGTATCCTTCAATCTAGCCAAATCCCTTGTTTTACTTAATAAGACACAGAAGTTAAGAAAAATAATCACGTGAGTTGTGCCATTATCACATGGATGTTTAGCATCAGAGTCCAGATCTGAATGCAAGCTCCTGATTCTCAGTTTAAGCTTTTTTCATGCCTGATTATGAAATTCAGAAAACTTGTTGTAAGTGAAGGGGGCAGGGAGAATTTCAAGTTATAGTATTTGTTGAGCTCAAGTAATATGTAGTTCTCTGAAAATATCTCAAGTACTTACAAAAATTTTCCTGAATCTGAAACTGTCTCATTAATCTTCATCAAATTAGTGAATAATGAGTGGTATGTAGAAATTATTTCTCGTAGTTGCTAATTGAAAAGTTACTTTGATAGAGCAGGAAAACATAATATTCCAGAGCCTAAATACTGAGTTGCCAGTACAATGACAATCCACATTCTCCTTATCAGTATCTCTTATTTAAATAAAAGTAAACCTATTCATTTAAAAAATTATAAAGTTGTTCATGAAAAATGTGATTTGAGAGTAGTAAAGGAGAAATGTAAGTTTCTCCTTTTTTTAGTACTTTTTGTACTTTAATAGTCCCTTTTCCAAAAAGATTAGTTCAAAAAATATCTGCATTACATTGTCTGATTACTATTCAGGTGTGTGTGTATTTAAAGTATCTTAACTAATACCTTTACATCTACATTTATTCTTTTACCCAAACACTTATGCCATTCAGTTTTGCTTATTTAAAAAAGAAAAATTTTATGTAAGTTAGTCATCGATAAGTCAATTGATAACTTTTAACTGTTTTATTATAACAGTCTTTTCTATTTGTGATCAGGATTATGCTATTTGACAGCATAAGGAGACTGTCATTTTTTTTTAATGGCAGAATTAGAGTTTAGTGTGGGGAAAATAAGGCTGAGTTGGTAAATCCATTACAATTGTAATATATTTGATCTTGATGTACCTAACACTATGCTAGGCACAAAAGTTACAGAATTATAATATCTGTTCACCAGAAGGCGTTCTTTGTGAGGGAACAAAACAGAAGAGGTGATACTTCCCTGAATGAAGTAAAGACTGTCCAGAAACGTGACCAACTTTTCTGCAAAGATAGCTGAGCATTGCATCCTCCTGCTGAGGAAGATTATAAAACCTATACTATAGCTAGAGATCTTTTCAGGATAATCTTTTCACATGAATAGACAATTGTATGTTCATGAATTATCTATTTATTTAGTTTGATATATTTTTATTGAAGTATAGTTGATATACAATATTATGTTTCAAGTATACAACATAGCGATTCGACAGTTATCTACATTATTAAATGCTCACACTAACTAGTATAGTTACTGTCAACACAGGAATAAGTTACAGAACTATTGACTATATTCTCTATGCTGCATTTTCATTCCCATGACTAATTTATATTATGATTAAGATTTTGTGACTCTTATCCCCTTTACTCACCCACTCCATCCCCTCCCCCATCATAACCACCAGTCATGTCTCAGTACCTATGAGTCTTCTGCTATTTTGTTCATTCTGTTTTGCTTTGTATTTATATTCCACAAATAAGTGAGATCATGGTATTTGTCTTTCTCCACCTGGCTCATTTCACTGAGCATAATACCCTCTAGATCCATCCATGTTGTTACAAATGGCATGATTTTTTTCTTTTATGGATGAATAATATTCCATTGTACATATATACCACATCTTCTTCCATTCACCTATTGATGGACACATTGGTTACTTCCATATTTTTGCTACTGTAAATAATATGGCAGTAAACATAGGGGTGCATATATCTTTTAAAATCAGGGATTTTGTTTTCTTTGGGTAAATTGCTTAAAGTGGAATTATATGGATAGTATGGTATTTCTATTTTTAGTTTTTTGCAGAACATTCCATACTGCTTTCCACAGCGGCTGCACCAATTTACACTCCCACCAACAGTGTAGGAATAATTTTAAAGTAGTTTTGCTTAGAGTAATTTGCAACAGGGCTAAATAATTTATAGAAATGACATTGGCTAAAATTAACACAGTCACAAATACTCTGCAAAAGTTGCTAAACTTCAAGAGTAATCTGGGAAGTGCAAAATACAAAGATCCCATTTTCACCCAAATTATTAGAAAAAATTTAAATTTGGTAATAAAAATATTTTGGCACAAGCAAATGAAATGCATGCACTCTACATTGCTGGTAGGAATGTAAATTTAGTGAACCATTTTTTTGGGTGACAATTTGGCAGTATTTCAACTGTAAAATTTATTTCCAAACAGTTTTGCTTCTTAATATCTGATCTAGGATACAAGGATGTTCATTGCTGCATTTTCCCATAATAGTCAATCTTAGTAACATCCTAAAATGTTTCAGTAGGGAAATATAAAATGACTTATAATACAACCACTTTATGGAATACTGTGCAGCTACTGAAAAAAGTTTAAGTAATCCATATTTCCTAAAGTACACAGATTTTACTTATATTAGGGAGGAATACCTTCCACCCTTCAAAGGTTCTTCTGGCTGGTCTAAGAATGAAATTGACTTGAGGCTGATTAATAGGAGAAAATCAAATATTTCATCTGAATAGGAACCCCACGTATATGAAAGGTTCAAAGACAGAAAGGTAAAATGAGGTCTCTGCCGTCTGAGCTAAGGAGTGAGATAGGGGCCTGGAGCTTCACCGGGGAGGAGGGCAATTCACCAGGCAAAGAAGAGCAGATGTTCAGTAATTAGATGTTTGCCCTGCCCTACAGATGGCTCACTCAGATAAAATTTTTGTCTGATAATAACCTTTATTCTGGGAAAGACCCCAATTTAGATTCTTCTAGGTAATTAAGGAAGGAGTAAAACTTGCTCTTGGCCCTGCAGAGTCGTGATTGTGTTCAACTCAAAATAAACAACATGCCAAAGTGGCCCATTTTGGGGCAGCCTGTCTTGGCCTCTACATATGCCAGCCTCATGGGTAATAATCAAGAAATGAGTTAGCTTTTCCAGAAATGTTAAGAGTGTTTGATGGTATAATATATCATGAAATGAAACACAAATATGAATTTTAAATTTTAAAGAAGGAGAGCAGAAATTAGGGAAAAGTTGAAAACTTATTCTAGTCCTTTCTAATTTAATAGAAATATGGAAAGTTGGTTAAGGACTATTTTCTTCAAAAGTTACACTTGGAAAGAGCTTTGACTTCTATAGTCCAAGGTTCTATAGAGCACAAGAACATTCATCCAGAAGCTTACACGGAGAGACAGAGAGGGAGGGAGAGAAAGAAAAGGAATGGTTTACAATCTACTAAGACCAATCCGTAAGAAAATTAACAACAATCTAATGGTGATCAGTACAATGCATGATGGGAGTATATGGGTTCCGGAATCTTCCTAGTAGTTCCTAACTCCATTCTGTAATCCCTAAGACGTTAGCTTCCAAGTGGCTCATTTCCTAGTTATGTGGGATGATCATTTGCCTCTGGAATTGGTTCAGTCCTGCTATAAAAGTACCTTATGCACAGACTTTTCTTTGGTGGTTCCCTTTTAGAAGGGAGTTTCCTTTTGCCTCCTGATTCCAACAATTAGATAATAATGTCAGTCCTCCTCAGAAAGTTTTCAGGGATAAAGCAACCTGGACTCTGCGACTCAACCTGTTCTCTTCCTTCTTCCCTTCTTCCCTTCCTCTGTCTCTCCCTCCCTCCCGTTCTTCCTTCCTCAATTTCCTTCCTTATCTTCAAACATCATTGGAAAAAAAAAACCAAAGTAGCTATAAGCTTAGTGTACTGATCCCCAGTGGTGCTCTGCAGAACAGCGTGGTCTTTCTCGAAATATCCAGAGATGGTCTAGGAAAAAATAGCATTGGGTCAGATGATTTGGGGAAAGAAATAAAGTATGACTGAATCATTTATTTTACTACAGAATTTCTCAGAGCCTTTAATTAATAGTTGTAGCATGAATATCCAGTAGGAGTACAATCTTATATAGAACCAACTCTTCCTTAAGTACCTTAGGTAAACTGCATGCTTCATGATCAATATATTTTTCTCATTTAATCAGTTATAATATGAAGACTCAAAGCTGGGAAAATAAGTAATTTGCTTATTACTCATATGACTACATTCAAGTCTGTCCACATGAATATTTTTACATGGCTGCGGTCACTGCATGTGATTTCAAATAGATAAAGACTTTAATAATATTTCATGAGATTGCTCTAAGTTGCCCTGTGGTCTTTATAGTCATAATTTTAACGGAAGCACCATTTTCCAGGGAGCAATTTACTTAACTATTCCCTTATTGTTAAAGAGTTAGGTCCTTTCCAATTATCTCCTGCTGTAAAACTGCAAAGAACATCTGAACATTCATTATATTTTTCATTATTTTCAGACAGACTCCACAAAGACTTATCCTTCTTTGAAGCTCAGTTGTTAAAGCTCTTCTATGTCCCTTACTGAAGATGACTCTTTACCCAGAAACCCCTGGGGTTTTTGCTCTGAAAAATGCTGTTGTTGATTTAGCTTTAAAATGGCCACATGAGTTCCCTACTGAACAAGCAAGACCCCTTTGTGGAAAACACACCTAAACACTGATAGTGCCCTACTGGGAACTCATAGAGGATTTATAAGCAGGTCATCTTTGTTGTTCAAAATCTAGTTTCATTGTCATTATTGCTTTAAATATTTTGGTGGAAATAAATTTGTAAATGCAACATATATTTTACTGTGTCATCTAAAAAGAAATCAACTTTATGCTACAAATTAACCAGCTAAAATTCTTTTTTCTTAACCAGGGGACTTGACAAATAATTTCTTAACCTTCTCTACCAACAAGAAGAAAAAATAACCCATGGATCCCCATATTGTTAACATCATAACACCTGACTTATTCAGAAATCAAACTTCTGTGAGGTTCTAATCATTCAGACCAGTGACTCATTTAACAAATATTCGCCAGGCACCTCTTATTTGCCAGGCACTGTTCTACCAGTAGGAATCTGTTCATGATCAGAGCAGACAAACAATCTTTTCTTCACTGAGTTTACCTTCTAGTGAGAAGAGAAAGGCCATAAATAAAGTAGATTGCATAAGTATATATATGATAAATGCTGTAGAGAAAAGAAATAAATCAGAGAAAAGTGAAAATAGTGCCAAGGGTAGAGAGAGGGTTGCACATTTAAGTAAGGCATCAGTGAGGACTTAACTGAAAAGTGACAGTTGAGGGAAAACAACAGGTAAGACTGAGGCATATGTGACTGTGTAGGAAGAATATTCCAGGCAAGGGAAATGACAAGTGCCAAAAATCCAGTATAATTGGGAATTACTGTGTATGAGAAAGAGCATGAAATTTGGTATTAGGAAACCTAGATTGTAGGGTGAGCTCCTGTCATGTGCACCTGTGTGTCCATCAGCAAATCACCTAACATCTCTAAAGTTCAAGTATAAATATAGGATAAGAATCATTTCTGAGTTTCTGACTTGCTATAAAATCTTATAATTATTTATTCATCATACCTGAGTATTAAGAGGAGTTTAGATAGCATTTAGCATTTTTAATTCATGAGACAAGGAAAAAATGATGCACTTAAGAAAATTCCCCATCACAAATGCTTACTACAGTAAAGGGGCTCAGTGCTTAAATGTTAAACTTCAATAATCCGGAAAACATAATTATGCCAAATATCCCATTCCCTGAAACTCACTGATGGGGCGATACCAGGAGCAATGAGGGTTAAGGGCTGTAACAGATTTCATTTTTCACATGTCAGTAGCACTAATAGTCTCCTGAAAGTTACTGTTTACTTTGATATGGTGCATCATTTCAACCTGTGGCCTGATGTGCTCCGTGCATTTTTGAAAACTCTGCAGGGCCTGAGAGTAATTTATTTGCTGCCAATTGAAGTGCACAAGCAAGTTAGGAGGAGGCAGGAACCCCTTAGAACAGAGTCAACTAATGTTGTTCTCGACATGTTAATTTCATGATCCATCACGTGCTTTTATGTTTCCTTAAAAAGACACTTTGCAAGGAGCTACACGGAGGGATGGTTCCCTGTAGATTTACTTGCTTTGGGTGACCTTTGGTGATAAAAAAATTCCATGTGCCTGAGACAGTTTTTGCACTCACAGCAACTTTTCAGGAAAGGAGGAGCTTTTTTAGAATCTTCTCAGCAGCTTTGGGTTTATTTTTAAATGTTTCTATTTGGTTCCACTTTACAGCTGTTTCTAGGGGGAAAAGCCCACTTCATTCTTCTCCAAATTAAAATGCTTTTTTTGTTTTTATTGAAGTAGATAAGACTGCAACTGATTGGTTTATCAAGGGCCATTTAGAGAACATCTGACCATCACATGCTGCTTGAGCAAAATCATTATGAAAGCACCATAAAGCATCGTTTTAAAGTTCAGCTCCAAGCGAAATAAATCAGATTCAAGGTCATTTATTACTCAAGCTCTGCCCAATGTTGCTGACATGGAAAGAAAATGACTGTAGTCACCATAACCTGAAGTGGGTTTTCTCTTAAGATTTTGCTACATCACTGTTTTTGCAACAGTGATATTTTAAGTTGATCTCAAATAAAATAAAATTTTAGATAGCATGTGGATCTATAGTAATAAAAACCGTAGAACTTACCTCCTCCCATGGCGAAGGAGGTGTGAGGAAAACAACATATTTTGAATACTTACTGTGCTCCAAATTCTGGACTACATACTTAAATATGCCTTTAAATTTAACCCCAGTAGAGTATATTGTTATTCCTATTTTTAAATGGAGAAACTGAGACTCAGAGAAGTCATACAGTCTTAGTAAAAACCTACAAAATCTCCATTCTTTTCCCCAAAAAGCATGCTGACTTCCACTATCTAGCCACTAGTTGAACCGATGTAGCATTTGTTTGACAGACACCCAGGAGCAGCAGTGTGCATGCAGTGACGTGATATGCCCTGCTGGGGCAGCTAGCTGATTCAGGCTGAGTCTCATGTGGGGCTGAGCCACCACACCTACAATGCATATCTTAGTAATGATGACAGTAAGCTTCTAAACTTTGGAAAGTAACAAAACGCTCAGACTGATGCATGAGAACAAATGTCAACTGATACATTATTTTGTGAGATATTCTAGGACTAAGACCAAGGAAAAGATTTTTGCATCCCTTTCACTGAGTCGTCTGTATCATAGCCCAGAAGGTCACTGTGTGATCAAAGAATCAGAAATAGGATACTATTAAACGAATGACTGTCTAGTTGATAGAGTATGGGATGATCTCTTGGTGCTTTTTCCAACCTAGAGAACCAGAAATGATGACTTATAATCATGGCTCCATCTGAGAGAAGATATTATAGACCCAGAAAGTTCTTAATTCTCTCAACTATTTTCATTGGGTATTTTTTTTTGAGAGGGCATCTCTCATATTTATTGATCAAATGGTTGTTAACAACAATAAAATTCTGTATAGGGGGGGTCAATGCTCAATGCACAATCATTAATCCATCTCAAGCCTAATTCTCGTCAGTCTCCAATCTTCTGAAGCATAACGAACAAGTTCTTACATGCTGAATGAATTCTTACATAGTGAATAAGTTCTTACATGGTG